ACAGCTATTGGCCAGATGGTCAAGGAGTCTGACTGGTAATCTCAAAAAACAACAACAACAACAAAAAGCTATTTCACTGAGCTCTGGCCTAATAAGAGGACTGGCCCAGGAGCTCTCTCCTCATGATTGAAGCCTTGAAGTATCTCTTGCTACAATCATCTTTCTCCATCTTGTTCGGTGATAACTGAGGACGTTACAGCTGCCACTTTCAGAGACACTGCAGTCCATTGCATGATTACTGAGAAGCCTTGTCCTGCTCACTGTGTTTCAGTGTGGCTTACTTCCAGGTAAGTTATAGTTAGGACTGCTGTCTTAAGCTGTATTTCACAATTCTGAATTAACTGTGACAAGCCCTACACAGAATATGATAAAAAGCATAGGATTCAAGTTTCTGAGAATTTCAGTTCCTCCTTTTCAATCAGCTTTCTCTAATTTATTTTAAAGGAAGTTATCATTCCATTTTAAGTATACTGTATATGTATGCATGTATTTTAAACATACCCCAAACAGTGTTCTATTGTTAAATGTTTATATTTGAAATACCAGCAAAATTCCACTGAATCTTTCCTAAATGCAAACAATGTTATAGCGCGAATTTTCATTTACAGTGGTGCCTCGCTTAACGGGCGCCCTGTTTAACGAAGAAATCGCATAGCGATGAAGATTTTGCAATCGCAAAAGTGATCGCATTGCGGTGTTTTAAATGGGGAAAAATCGCTTTGTGTTTCGCTTACCGATCGTCACAAAGCGATGATTTTTTAACAGCTGATCGGCGGTTCCAAAATGGCCACCGGGTTAAAAAAATGGCCACCCGCTGTTTTCTGGGATGGATTCCTCGCTTGCCGGGCAGCGAAAATGGCCACCCTATGGAGGATTTTCGTTTAAAGGTGAGTCTGAAGCCCATAGGAACGCATTGAAGGGGTTTCAATACATTCCTATGGGCTTTTTAATATCGCATAGCGACGAAATCACTTTGCAGCGATTTTTGCTGCACCAATTATCGTCGCTATGCGAGGCACCACTGGTATTATGTTATTCATAGAAATATAGCCAATCACATCTGAAACATAAGAACAGAGCATGGAATACTCTTTATCCAAGCCATGAGTGAAATCACCTGTTGCCTGTACAAATGGGCTTTTACAGAGTTTGCACGAAGTGGGACCCAAGGCTCCCTTGCAAAATTGTATACCCTGTTCATTACAACTGGCTAAAGAGCACTGTAGGTGGAGAAAAATGTATTGTGCCATTGCTGGAACAGGAGACCAGCCAAATAGTTTTGTTGTTGCTGTTTAGTCGTTTAGTCGTGTCCGACTCTTCGTGACCCCATGGACCAGAGCACACCAGGCCCTCCTGTCTTCCACTGCCTCCCGGAGCTGGGCCAAATTCATGTTGGTAGCTTCGATGACACTGTCCAACCATCTTGGCCTCTGTTGTCCCCTTCTCCTCTTGCCTCTCTTCTCATGAGATGGCCTAAGTACTGGAGCCTCAGCTTCAGGATCTGACCTTCCAGGGAGCACTCAGGGTTGATTTCCTTTAGAATGGATAGGTTTGTTCTCCTTGCAGTCCAGGGGACTCTCAAGATCCTCCTCCAGCACCACAATTCTAACCAAATAGTTTTAGCCCACCTTAAAAACACAGTAAGAGATCAGTATAATCTAACTACTTAAATCACCTACTTATAAACAAACTGTTCACACACTTAACACAGTGGCTGAAATCCTGTTGCTTGATTTAATAAGTTGCTCTAAAGGAGGCCCCTTGAATCACTGAGAATTTGGTGAGTCGGTTCTTCCACAGGTTCCACTGATTCAAATTGGTTTACTCTATTTATGACTTACTACATTAAGCAACAGGGTTTCAGTCAGTGTCTTCAAGAAGTCCTAGATGCATTTGTTCTGGAGTGCAAGACTTTTCACTTCAACAGGTCTTCACTTTAGGTCTCCTCTTCTGTACCAGATCTCCCCATCATTCCTTCATTTTCAGCTTTTTCTAACGCTCCCTTTCATTGATGCTAATATGCATTAATATTTTTCATGGAATCATAGATTGGAAAGGAAAGATTGGCCTCTAAGGCTGTCAAGTCCAATCTCCTGCTCAGTGCTTCGTTTTTCTCAATGAAGAGATTCAAACAGTTTATCTTGGAAACCCTGTTGGCAGCATATCCTGAAGTCAAACCACATCTTTGTGGGACAGCTGATTTCTCAAGTGAAAAGTATTAATGGCTCAAGTAAGATCCCAGTTTAGCGGATGGCATTTGGGGACATGTTGATGAACTGTGATGACAACTCAAAAAGCATTCATCCACTCAGCAAGAGAAACTGCACTGTGTTCTCTGGCCATCTGTATAGCTGGTAAAATCAATGACAAAGCCTTGTCTTTCAATTTCCATTTTGGTCCCACCTTGTTCTGAGATTTATAACATCAACAGGAGACTTACACTGACTTTCAGAGGAGTAGGAACAACCCTTTTAAGTGGAGAAAATGAAATCTAATAAGACCACGTTATGAAATCACTGCTTACACAAAGGAAGAAATTAATCTGGCAGGTATTCAATGACTCACCCTGGACTGATATCAGTCCCTTAGGAGAGGGAATATTCCTGATACACCTTATCAGGCTCATCACTGAAAACAGCTCATGGTGAGTATTCTGCACAGGGATACATTCGCTGGTGAACTAGTTGCTCATTGGTTGCTATGTGCTTTATCTCACTGCATTGCATCTGCAGTTTCTGACAGATTTGGCACAGAGCATGTGTGTCTGAGGTTTAAGGATTTTGAAGACAATTGGACCTCCCCCTACACTGTGTTAAGTTAGAAAATCATCATAGGCATCCTTCAGTCTTGAGAGACTATGGTAACATGCTCTGGATCGAGGAGTGTCCTCTCCAGAGCATGAAGCCTGGGTAAAATAATATGGAGGATAGGCTGTTACCCAAGCAGCAGATCTCCCTCTCCACCTTGCTGAAATGGTCCAATGGAAAGGCAAGAGCCAATACAACTGGTTCCAGCAATGTCGCAGGAGTTGGCAGAACGACACACGCTGCCTTCGGGACTCCGGCTCCGGATTTTGCCTTGAGGTTAACTCCTGAAGCTAGGAGATGGACTTTGATATATTACTATTAACATATTTTCTATCTTATACGTGATAGAACAAGCTACAGAATTTTTCTCCTCTCTCTTCAAATCCTCATGACTACTCCTAATTGGAGACAGGATTTAGCTCATATCTTTTCGAGTGAGGCATCTTGTGTCTTTCCCAGTCCTGCAGAGCGGGTGCTCATTTTGCAAGGGGGGGGGAACCTGCCTCCTCATGTTTCCACTGATGAAGCTGTGTAATGATAGACACCGCATTATGGCCAGCAACTGCTCCTGGCTAGTGCCACATAGTGCTTTGTAAATCACTTTTATCTCCCTGCTATTTGTGCTCTCTCCGACCTGCTTCCAGCACATGTTTTGTGACACATATATTTCCATTCTCTCTGCTCCACCCCATGATATATTCCCATGCTTGAGAATCCACAGATCTCCACTGTATCCAGTTCTGTGGCCAAAACACAGTATTAGGACTCTTCTTGTTAAGGTGTTGAATGACCAAGTTACCAAAGACCCATGACCAAGTTACCAAAGAAGTCATGGGTGGTGGGAACTGAATTCCACTGCAAGAAGGAACCATAGGTGTGAACAAAGTACCACTGAAAAGTTCTAATGCCTATACAGTAATACTCTTTTCATCAGGGCCAAGAAACATATACTTGCTGGGGTGTTCCGGGACTTGTCCAAAAAGTAGCTTTCCCCACTTCCTCAAGTGACATCCTTCCCCCCCCCAAAAAAAACAACCTCACCACCACCACTGCAAGCACACATGCACACACAGGCACCCACACATGTGCATACGAGAGAAATAGCATGTAAACCTACCTGCCTAGTAATTATACAAAATATGCAAACTTCAAGTAGATGAATATTAGATGATATAAACAGCCATTATGTTACTCACAACACAGTGCATAACTAATAGATGAGAAATAGGTATGAAACAAACAAACTGCAGTGGTTTGAGCTAATCTGATCCTTTGTGTGTAAAGTTTTTTTTTCTCCAAGACAGCTTTGCTACCTTCCTTCCCACAATACTCATGTGCAAAGAAACTATTATTCACTTGGTCCACATTGCCAGAGTGGCATAAAATCCAGCTGTGCAGAAATTACTTCCATGCTGCCCTGATAACATATAAATCCATTCTCAGAATACTATAGTAAAAAAACAAACAAACCACTCCACAAAACATAAACCCTTTGCCACTACAGAGTTCTTTAGATTTCAAGGTGTCACAAGATCTGTCCCCTTGTTTCCCACAACCATTTTTATGGGTGATAGTCTCCTGATACTATGAGCCTATGTCAGGAGGCACCAGCAGCTTACTTTGCAGTACAGAGCAAATCTTATTCTAAGATTTTAAAAATCTGTCATCTGTTCAGATCAATGGGATTCCTTGGGCCATCATCAGATATAAAAGTACATTGCACCAGGACAGAATCTGGACAGACGTGCGGTAAAAAGAATGTCCCAGGGATGCCCATTTCCTGGGATTTGGAAATAAGATTTGGGGTATGCCATGCCATTAAATTCCAGTTCCTTGTTTGGGGTTCATCACACCTCTTCTTTACATAAAGAACGAAGGGCCAAAGT